GCTTGCTCCATCTTCAGTATGACATCCCTTCAAATATCTAAATAGGGTTATCATATCACCTCTTAATGGGAACCAAGTCTAAACATGACATTCATTTATGTTTCATATACACATAGTCTGGAGATATTTTTATAGATAATATTTTTAGTAACAATTGTGCATGAAACAGTTTGTCTACGCTGAACCATCAGAAAGCAAAGGTGTCACTGTCTTAGCCAGCCATGTGGACATTTTTGGATTTTGGACTATTTTGGATTTTGGAATTCCAGATAAGGGAGACTTAACCTGTACAAAGTGTCTTCTGCAGGTGACTAGCATTAAGATCACCCCTGCCATTTGGCTAAGTGAGTTGGGCTCTTCAGGGGCTACAATCTTGAGTATCACAAAAGGGCTACAAATTGTTAGTTTTAAAATTTACATATATTACATTTTTACTACAGAGAGGAAGAAAAGAGGTGCTTGTAGGATTTTCAGCAACATGTGCCAAAATAACTCAAATGAGCCCAAAGCAGGATGACCAGATGCCCTGATTTTCCAGGACATGTCCTACATTTCAACCTTTTGTCCAAGAGGAATTCCATAATATACTCCATTTTGAGCGTGACATAAGAAATCCATTGGGTAGCACCACATTTGCTGTTCATCTTCAAGAAATGTGTCTACTTGGCAGCCTGTCCTTGCTGCAAATCGGGGGATAGGATGGATCCTTCTTAAAAGTTATTTTTTCATCAAAGCAGCAGCAGGCAAGACTTGCACCCAGAGCTTAGGGCATGTTTGATTGTCAGAGGGGGAAAGGGCAGCAAACCTGTTAGGCAGTGGGCTGCCTGAGGACACAATGCAAATGTTGAAAGGGCTTTTTTCCTTAATTTCAGCATAATGGACAAATGAAAGGAATCATTTCAATGTCGATTCAACCAAGGGTTTGTTGCTAGTAAAGTACAATTTTAAGCATGTGTCTGTCTCAGAGATCTATAAAAATATTGTAAGCCAACAAGGCATTTTAATGAAGATAAGTTTATCAAGAAAATACGGTTGAGAACATAATAAAATACAGTGTATTTAACATTTGTTGTTGTTATGTCCCTTCAAGTCATTTCCAACTAATGGTGAACCTAAGGCAAACCTAGAAGGCTAGTGTGGCCTAACAGTTTGAGTGTTGGACTACGACTCTGGAGACCAGAGTTTGATTTCCAGCTTGGCCATGAAACCCACTGAGGGTGGGCAAGTCACACTGTCTCAGCCTCAGGGGAAGGCAGTGCCAGACCTCCTTTGAACAAATCTTACCAAGAAAACCCCATGATAGGGTCACATAAGTTGGGAAGGACTTAAAGGCACACAAGAATCGCACTATACTCTTAGAGAGCTACTATTCCACTTTAACTGCTGTTCTGGCTGCCTCCTGTTGCATTCTGGGATTTGCAGTTTAGGGAGGGGCATTTAGAATATTCAGCCAGAGATCCCTTAGGCCTCACTGAACTACAAACACCAAAATGCAATAGGAGGCAGCCTGCCTGAGCAGTAGAAGTGGAATAGCAGCACTATAAGAGTGTGTAGTACAATCTTTTTTGGCAAGCTTTGTTCAGAGGGGATTTCTCATTTGCAGCCTCTGAGGCTGAGAAAGTGTGACTTGGCCAGGGTCAAAAAAGCAAAAAGCAAAGCAGCTTATTTATATACCGCTTCATATCACGCTATGGGATGTCTAAGCGGTTTACAACTGTGAGCTGATTGCCCCCCAACAAGCTGGGTACTCATTTTAGCGACCTCGGAAGGATGCAGTGGGTTTCTGTGGCAGAGCCAGCATTCGAACTCCGGTCTCTAGAGTCATAGG